CCTCTGAAGCTGCCCCTGAAGTGACAGCAACGAGAACCCAGGCATCCCTGGGAGCAAACACCCAGATTTGGAAATTGAAACTGTGGGAGAGAAAGAAGGGATCATCATAGTGAATGGCCTAAAAGATTCCTGTATTAAAAAAATTACTAAGTGTTGAAGGACTCCATGCTTTTGTCATGTCTGCTAGAGATGGGGTTCCTGTTATTAAAGTGCCCAATGATAATGCTCCAGATCGTGCTTTGAGACTTCGCTTCGTATCTACTTTTACCCTTGCAACAAACCAAGACAGCAAACTTGGACTCACAAAAAACAGAAGTATTATCTGTTACTATAACACTAACCAGGTGGTTGAATTGAATTGGTTACCTTTGATGATAAATTTCATAGCCAGCAGCAATGCCAATACAGGACTAATTGTCACCCTAGGAAAGGAACTTGCTCCATTATTTGAAGAATTCAGACAAGTTGTGGAAGTTTCTTAATTGAGTGAACTCTACATGTACCTTCATTTTACCAGAAAAAAATGTCAATTCAGCAATCTCTAGACCATAGGAGTACTTGTATCTGTGTACTCAAGAAAAGGTCCTCTTTTCTACTGTATCCTTATATGTATCATTATATTTCCTTGTTTAGAGTCCTTTCTTATTTAGTGAGATGCGGGACTATCACAAAAATGGTTCAGTCTATCACAGCTCCCATGGATGAGATTCTCGAGAGGATCAGAATCAAAATGGTTAATGATGCACTTGCACCATTCAGTGATCCTATTGTGAAACCCTGCTCCTTGGAAACCCTACACAGGGTCACTGTGGGTCAGAATCAACTCGATGGCACTTAACAACAACAATTGTGAAATAGGCCTAAGCCTGAAGAATTAAGCAGACCCTTTTTATCGTGAATAACAGTGAGGACCTATTTTTCTACATACTATGTTTTATCTCTTTGCACTGAATGCAAGGAAAATAAAATGGCTTAGCAAAAATAATAAGATCAGTACAATCACTAACTTTACTATGTATATACTATTTTACAGTATATATGATTATTACTAATTGATAGCAGAGGGTTGATGTTCAACCATTTCAAGAGGTAGCATATGATCAAGAGCCAATGATACTTAAAGCAAAAGTCCAAGGTACATTGAAGGCATTGGCTAATTGAAATCTTTCAACAAAGTCATCTATGCCAAGAAATTAGGAAGACAGCTACCTAGCCAACTGACTGGAAAAGATCCATATCTGTGCCAATTCTAAAGAGAGGTGACCCAACGGAATTCAGAAATCATCGAAATATCATTAATATTGCTTGTAAGTAAAATCTTGCTAAAGATAATTTTTAAATGGCTGCAACCACACATTGGCAGAGAACTTA